CGATGGATGCAGGTGGCTCAGGACCGTGCTTTGTGGCGTTACTTGGGGGAGGCCTATGTTCAGCAGTGGACTTGTGAAGGGCTGTAATGATGATGATGATGATGATGATTGGATAGGCTAATTGCGTGATTGCGTGTTTATATTTGTAAATTTTCAGTTATCAAACTGACGAAAATCTAAGGCCGGTATATTTTTTATTTTTTAGAATAAAGGTTAGTGACAAACGAGGACACAGTCTACCTGATGGTAAGTGGATGCTGTAGCCCGTAGAGATCTACATCTATCCTTTATTAAAAATCAAAATACAGAATACCTCGTTTCCAGTAAAAATTATCTTCGGTTCTCTAAACTCACCATACGAAACACAGCAGCCTTAAGCTGCCATTTCATCCAGGTCGAGCCAACCCATTCGTGCTACAACTCATGTAACTGTAGCGTGGCTCTACCGCGTACATAAAATTGGGTAATTGTGGGTTTTTCAATTCAGAGTCAATCTCGGGTTTCTTAAAATGTTATGTTTACTTAAATGTTTCATTAATTAAATTCTGATTTAATTACCATACACTAACGAGGCAATCTCAAAATTGAACTTATTGCATTTAAATATAGACAATATTATTTATTGTGTTACATAAATGTTGATATTGTGAAGTTTGAATTTAAACTAAAAATCTGAAATTAGATCAGAATATAATCAATAGTCACACAACATTATAAGTGTCTGAACGTTATTACCAATATAAGTTGACTTATAGGACCGTCATTTAATAATTTATTAAAAAATATATAAATGAACTATGGGAAAACTATGAAAGTGTACTCTTTCGATAAATAAACTCGATTAAATAGACATTGCGTTACATAGACATAATAAAGTTGACTTTAAAAATAAGTAAATGAGAAAAAAACTTTTTGACGTTGAATAAATCAGACAACTATTAGATATATGAATTATTCATTACCCACTAATGCAGAAAAATTATTATTAATAAAAACAATATATATTAATTAAGATTTCTTCATTGCAGATATTAAATATCATGTTTCCTGTAAATATGAATAAAATGTGTATTTTTTAAAATGTTTTGTTGTGATTAAACACGCTAGTCTCTGCAATCTCAGCTTGTCTTAAATGTTGATTTTTGTTAAGGAAGTCGGAAGAAAAAGCGCTCAGGCGCAAGGTTTGAAACAGTAATGACTAGTTATACGTAAATATACATTTCTGCAAAATATTTAATCCATCTAAAAAAAAGTCCGCCACACCTTAAAGAAAAGAGCGTACTCTTCTTCAAAGGGCCGGCCACACACCTGCAAATCCCCTGGTGTTGCAGTTGTTCGTGGGCGGCGGGAGTCACTTGCTATCAGGTGAGCCGCATTCTCGTTTATAAAAAAAAAAAATATTTTAAATATGGTAAAACCACTGCTTCGAAAAAAGTTTCGATGTATGTTGTACAATTCAATATGAAAAACTAAAATTGAAACGACATGATATGACTTTTATTTTTCACGCGGATTTTAGGTCAACAATTTTAAAATTTTTAGAATAGTTAATTTCCACAAAATAACGCCTGATTATTTTAACTGATTAACGTTTTTTAATCAGGACCTGTATTCGCTACAACGTCTCGTGGTGCGCGTATGATCCTCTGGAGGGGTTACAAGTTCCTGCGGCAACGAGTGACTGGTGTTAAAACAAGATGGTGGTGCGCTACTCACTACAACAAGGGCTGTCGTGCTGTCATCTACACCATCGACGACGATGTCATAGTTAAAAGCAACACAGACCACAATCACCTACCATCTAATTGTTAATAATGCGTTAAAATGCCATGAATGTCTATAGACAACTATTTTTGTATCAAGTGATCAATCCCTTTTAATTAGTTCTAACATTTATAGATAATATTTAATTTCTCACCTCAGTGTTGAAAATAGTTATGAAATTAACCGTTTTTACGAAGATATATATATTACATTTTTTTTGATTAGATATTAAGGGGCAATTCACATCGAAACGTGACGCAGTGCGCAATTTTTAAGATACACATTTTATTGCGATAATTCGAAAATGCAAGAGCGGCGCTGCAGCCTGAAGCCGTCAAGCCAACTTGTCTCTTCTCTACTACTTTCACTCTGCGCCTTCACGACGAGCTACGCGACAGCGCGATGTAACTCGCGGCGACGCGCTGCGCGTCGCGTTGCATCGAGTTTCTACGTGAACTGACCTAAGTTCAGGTCGATCAAGACAATTAATAAAAGAAAAATAAATCCGATCCAATTATCGACGCTTATTTATAATAATTAAATGAGATTGTTAGATTATCATCCATTTGTAACCGAGTAATATTTTGTCTGTAATATTCATTAAATATTTCATTGTATCTATCAATATCAATGTTTCATTAGCTCGCTTAGCGGTTAGCCACCGCGGAGCCTATTCGTTATGATGGTATCTTGTTTGGAGGCGAAACACGTGTCATTTCGTCTGGTCATGTTCATTGGTGCCGGCGGGGATCGAACCCGGATTGTTTGCGAACTGTGAAATTAACATCGAGCGCTTAGCCCCTGAGCTGCCACGGCGGCGAAGCTATGTATAGTAACATCTCATATATATTTCTACACATATTTGCAAGATTTTATGCAATAACTTTGCCTCTCTCTTTCTCTCAATTTAATTAATGTACACTTTTGCATATTAAATAACACAGACGTTTGTGTCTTAAGTTTAAACAGTTTGGTGTCCAAAAGCAAAATTGAACTTGCTTTTTTATTTTGGGATTACTTAACTATACACCTTAAACAATTACCAGTTTTTGAAGAATGAAAAAAATATTAGAACATATTTACAGATTTAAAAATAAAGTTATTGTAACTTTGATGACGAATAATATTTAGTATTGCTTTACAGCACCAATCATTGTGACCAACAGTCGAGGTACCCGCAGAATTTACATAAACGACTTTTACTTCACAAAACACCGTGCCATTGGCCACAAAATGCGCTGGCGATGTGGCAGCCACCGCTGCAAGACTGGCTGCAGAGCCTCATTATTTACGTGTGAAGATAAAGTAATAAAGATCAACAATATTCACAACCACCCGTCAATAACTCCATATGATTTCTTTAATTAAAACAGTACTCTACTGTGAAATAATACAGTCGGAAAATCCTACACTTGAGCCGATTTAGTAAAAGAACAACAAAACAAACAGAAACAATTAAGTCGAATCTTGTTCTCGCACAGATATCTCTTTTGTTAAATGGGTAATGGTTATTTACAGATTTTTTACAACGATTTTTATTTCTTTCACTGGTGGTATAATTTACAGAGATGTTTTGTCATCATCTATCAATTTTTTACTATAAAAAGACATAAATGTTAATTTCATTATAGTTAACATCATCTGATAGGCATAGGCTATGTACGTGTTTATATTTGGGAATTTTCAGTTATCAGACTGGTGAAAAACTGAGGCCGGTAGTCTAGACACAATTTATTAAATTCTGGTCTTTATAGTATAATCTATACAATAATATTAACATAATACCAATATATCTGTACAATATAATAGTAAGGAGACAATCTCAAGTTTTAACTCAAACTTACTCAATATGAATCTAGACAATATTATTATGTTACATAAATTTTAACACTGTGAAGTTTGAATTTAAACTCGAGAACGTCTTTTTTACTTTAAAGGTTTTAAAGTAATTAGATCAGAATATAATCAATAGGACACAACATTACATCACTGTTATTAACAATATAAGTTTATTTTATTAAGTCAATTAATGTCTAATTTAAAAAAAGCAAGTTACCATTATCGTTTACACCCGGTTGCGCGGCAAAAAAAAAACGGGTACTCTCACATTTTGTTCATTTGGTTATTGTTTGCCAGTGTCTCTTTCCGTCCTATCCACGCGTTTCTTCCGCATGCACTGAAGGGGGGAAGGGGGTCTAGAATGTGGCGCCACCTTTTCGGCCAATAAAGAAGCGCGCCTCCCACCTAAATAGGAGTAGTGATGGTTGCCAATAAAAGGATGACCCTGCCGCCGCTCCTTCTTCTTGCATCGTAGTTGAAGAACACCGCTAGTTGTGATTGCCCCTCTGTGGCAGTCGCGCCACAGAAGAACTGCTAGTAATAACCGCGTCGTTTGGTGCAATCTGTCGTCGCGCACTGCTCTTTTCCAACGCATCTCACCACCAGGAGTGTTGTCCACGAGGCCGCCATCCCACCCCGGTAAGAGCTCCTTAATTTGCCTTGAGTGGTTTTAATTCTTTGCCATATTTTTCTCCCCTAACGGCTCAAGTAGAATTCCATCTCGGGATACTGGCAAAATAGTAGATTTGAAATAGCGAGTGTATCGTCCAAGAATTGCTGCGTGCCGCATCGGCTGTCTCGTTTTGGTTGTGAGAAGCCACGCATACAGCCCACCAAGAAAATCGATCCAGCATAATAAGGTCGAGGCTCGACCTGGGAATCGAACCCGAGACCCCAATCACCACATCATTTTTGATCATTAGCGCGACCAACAACTATGGAACTACTATGAAAGCACACCCTTTCGATAAATAAATTCGATTAAGGAAACGTTGCGTTACATATATAAATTAAAGGGTCTAAGCACGTTAAAATTTATCTAAAATAAACACTTATATACTAATTGACATTTCTACATTCAATATGATATATTATATCATGTTTCCTTATATTATATACAATAAAAAGCGTTATTTTTAAAATGTTTAAAATATGTTATAAATAATTAAATACACAACACGTTCTAAATAAATCTATCGCATTATAAAAGGTCCATTATTTCAAAATAATCTACTTATTTCTAAATAGCTTTACATTATACGCAACGTTATGTTGAAATATTGAAAGATAGAATAATTGTTAAAGTAAAATGAAACTTGATTCTTATGGGTAAGATTTACTGTCTCAGTGTACAAATAATATCATGGAATTATGTTAAATAGTAGTAATATACAACGATGGCGCAGGTACTGTTCGAAGAAGGAAAGTACCGATATGCACTCAGATAGGAGATACCTTTAAGAAAGGGTTCGCGACAAAAAAGTGTATTTGGCAAAAAATGTCTGGTTTTTGTAATGACATATTTAATTATATGGTCGGTTTTTATTTAAGTTTGTAGATGATCATACAGTTACCTAGCTATACTAAATAAGAAAAGATAAATTGGAATTTTATGGAACGTCGAGTGTATATGCTGTTTCTCGATATATAATGACTATTACTTGACTTAGTTCCTGTAAACCTTCTTCTGAGTCTTTTTTTCTTTATTAAAGCTGTTGATTGGATGAGAATATGAATAAACAACTTAATTGTTAAATTTTGATTTAATTGTGACTTTACGCCTGATGATTTCTATGGTCTTTGCTATGGCGTATAAAAATATCAATCAATGTATTCGTAATTTTAATATTATAGTTATCGGCTATTTCTTTACTTTAACTTATCTTAAGCATCTACTAATTTAATTTTTTATTCATAAAGTAAAATGTTAATATGAAAACATTTTTTCCAGTTCGTCCCACGTTCTTCACGACTGAGATCGGCGCCAGGATCATGAAGCTACGTGGTTATTGTTACACTCGTCACTCCGTCTGCTCGTCCAGGGTTAAATGGCTGTGCGTTGAGAACAGAAACAGCGACTGCCACGCCATCGTCGTCACCATCGGCTACACCATGGTCGAGCGTCAGAACAGACACACCCATCCACCGAATTTGACTTAAAAAATATTTCCAAAAGGCTGTGTACTTTGTTCCTGCTAATTAAAATTTACCAAAATTGCTTGAATTGTAGTTAAATTTGTGTCTTAAATAAATGCAATGAAATTACATAGGTACTTGTTACCTCTTTTATTCCTATATATTAATTACTACAGGTACGTGAAGGTAATATGGTCATCTTAAAGTTTGCCGCCCTATAAAATCAAAAGTAGGGGGAGGACGGACACAAAAACACAAATGCATATACTATAACTAATATAATATTAATCTTCTTAAAAAACTACACTACACGATACTAAAATCGACTAAAATATTTACTATAATGTCAACTGTCAAAATCGCGTCGATAAAGCATCGCCCTTTTGACCGTTTATTATTTGATTGACCGATGAAGAGCTATCGTATCACAAAGCCATCTATGCAAATAAGGCTGTGGTTTATGAGTTTCAAGAAAGTGACCATATTAACCGGATGACCATATTACCCTCACGTACTATATATACAACACGTAACATAATTAACGTACTTTGAGAAAGTAGTTTGTTCAGAATCGTTTACTGAATCGATTCCTATCATTTTAATATAGGTAATTTTTTATCCCAAAAATAATTAAAACTACGTAAATTACAGTCACACTAAATCTGTATAGTCAAAACAAACAGAAATGGACCGTAACTTAAGGCAATAAGACTTTTAAGAGCGCAGTTTTATTTGTATTATTACTAATTCTGCCATTCAATAAAAATAAAAAAGAATGAACTTTATTTCAACCACGTTAAAGTCTTTGCGTTCGTGGATTTGTACTGTGACCACAATATTCTTCCGGAATTAGTACATATAATTAATTTGATAAATAATCAGTGCATAAAATTGTTTAACTAAAAATTCAGTGTATGTATTATGATTATAACATAATATAATAATTGGGGTGTCTGAGGGTGTGCGTTAATTATGTTACATATTGTATATATATATATATATATATATATAGGTTAAGCGGAATATTAGTAATATTATAGCGTTACTTGTATTCTTTTAAAAAATTGGCACTTGGAAATAATGATGTATTATTTCCTCTTATACCCCTCAAGTAAATAACTAAGCCCTAACGAAATTACTAATGACTGATATTTTTTAGGTAATGAAAAACCAATAATTGTAATCACTAAAAAAGGTACGAAAAGACTTATAACGAATGGGTTCAAATACGGATATCGACGTCAAAATGGCGTGAAAAGTTGGTGGCGATGCGTGAGGCATACTTCAAAGTGCCGTTCCATGGCCATTATGGTTGAAGATAGAGTAGTATTAATTAAGGAACATAATCACGAAAGTGACATGTCATAGACAAGTTCTGTCAAATTTACCTCGATGTCTTTTTAAAATGGAATGGAAACTGTAAAAATGAAGCAATTTCATTTATCTTCAAAAGTTTGAATGACGATAAAAATAAGTTTAATATGAAAAATTAATAAAATATCTTTGTATAATAATTGTTTAATAATTGATATTTAATTTCTCCTTCCATTTTTCCTCAGAATACTATAGCTTGATAATGCTTCCTAATTAATTTGTAAAGACTAAAAGATGAAAGCGTGAAAAATGATATGTAATGAAAATTTTGTCATCTTTTTCTTAATTTAATTAATTTACTACAGGCATTGGCAAGACAAAGGTCACGTCACACATATAAAACTTATGCCAGTAGGTGTTGGGAGCACTACGCTCGATGTGATTAAAGATTATGTTTTCCTAGAACAAATTGTCTGACTAGGTAAGTTCAACTTCGATCAAAAGGTCAACCGACTGGTCTAACTCGGCTAGGTGGCTGAGTTTTGAAAACAAGAATGTACGTGTTGCCAGTGATAACATAATATGGATCCCTGGCCGGGGTCTTAAGGTGACTCATTGAGCTTTGAAGAGCTCCATGCTCGGAGTTTCTCTGCGTGATAAATGTCGTAATAAGGGTATCCGCCCACGGATAAGTAAACCGATGCGGCAATGGTTAAACTAATAACTTGAACTCAAACTGATGGGGAAAAAATTCCACGAGTTACAGTCTCGTACTAATAAGTGGAATTTAGGGAGGCCCCCCACTATTTGGAGTATACCTGGTAAAAGATATGCAGGAAGTCGATGGATGCAAGTGGCTCAGGACCGTGCCGAAGGAATGCCGCAAATCCTTGAGGGAGTACTATGTTCAGCAGTGATCTTGTGCATACTTGTTATATTCCATAATGATGACGATGATGATGAAGACATGAATAACCATCTTTTAAACTTTCGTCTGTTTCTCTGTCTTATCGGACTAATCTTCGAAATTGATGAACCGATTCTAATGAAACTTTATTGTGGCTGGCTATATTTTATCCAAAACGCTTGTTTTTTTTGAGAAATCGAAAAATTGGTCATTAAGCACTTGGCATTTATCTAATGATATACCTACCACCGTCTATCGGAGCCCTTGAATGGTGTTTACGGGCTATCCCATAGTCGCTCCTCACAACACCATGAGACGACATGGTTTTGTCGACCCTTTCCCCAACTTCACACGGTTAACTAAAGCAACATAATTTTGTTTCAGATTTCGAGTGGATTCTTACACGTTCCAAAAACGAAACAGATCCAATTGAACGGCTACAGATATGGGCTACAGTTCCTTAAAAAGGGCAAAGGCAGATGGCGGTGTGTTAAACAGAGGCGCGGCTGCAAAGCGGTTGTGGTCACAGTGGATGGTGAATTACTATGCGTAAAAAACGAGCACAACCACGAACGTGAAGTTCCTCGTGTTAACAGAAAATATCAGTATAAACAAACCATGGAGAATGTATCAATTTAAGTAATATTTATTACTTCAGAAAATCTTTTACAAATAACACACAATTCTAGCGTAAAATAGCAGCTTAATGCTGCTGTTTCGTTGAATGAGTATAGACCAACGGGAACAAATAGTTTCACTGAAAACGAGGTATTCGATCTCAAACCTTAAGAAGAAAGAGCTTACTCCTTTCTAAAGGGCCGGCAACGCACCTGCAATTCCCCTGGTGTTGCGGTTGATCATGGGCGGCGGTAGTCACTTAACATCAGGTGAGCCGCATGCTCGTTTGCCCCCTCTTCTATAAAAAAAGTCCTTAAGGGTGACAACGCATCTGCATTTTGATTCTTAATCGAAGATAGACGTAGGTGTCTATGGGCCAAAGCATACACTTAGCATCAGGTGGACTGTGTGCACGTTAGTTACCATTATTCTGTAAAAAAGTGAACTGTCAGCTTATTTACTGGTTAAAAAGTTTCTTCTTACCATATCGGAGATTTTATGGCAAGAAAGTGTCCACCGCGCTGCCTAACTTAATGGTGTACATACCGTAGACACCTGCCAGCAACTTCCAACAACTTGTAATTTATAATGTAATTAAACGTAATATATTATATACACGTGCATCAGTTATGCAGTTTTTAAGTTAATATTGAATTTTCAAGTATATCAATAAAACACCTTGTCTTATTACTGAAAAACCTTGGTCAGTATCAATTTTCACCGACTCTCCTCGAATTTGATCAGGACGTTGCTCTACCTTTAATAGAGTTTCAAAAACAACATACAACAAAGTTGACAAATTATGTTTCTTTTTTCTGATGTTACTTGTGATAAAAGCATATAGATCATTTTTACTGGTGGCGAGGCATTCTATGTCCTCATGGTTGACAATGCATCTACATTTGATCGAGGATAGATGTAGCAGTCAATAGGCCAAAATATCCACTTGTCAGGTGGACTATGTGCTCGTTTATCTCGTTATTCAGTAAAAAAATTACTTAAAAGCATATCTGTGTGGTACGTACAGATACAAGATAGACAAGTAGTAAAATTATACATGTAGTACAATCGACTTCAATATAAATAAAATGAGAACATAATCAATGTATTCAAAGTCAATTAAATACGCATTATCAAGGATAACTCAAAAATTACTCGTCGATCTTGATCAAATTTATATGGGACCACATGAGAGGCACCAGCCTTCAAATAAGAAAAGAAAAATGTTCAGAGATAACACACATAATAAAAACATACAATCCAATTGAGTACCTCCTCCTTTTTGAAGTCGGGTAAGTAAATTGTTCCCAAGGCGTGTAAGTTAGCACAACTATAGTCAACCAAATCTAAGAAATTATACCTATTGACGTTTCACATTAATCATTCCGCAATAACTTTGCACAAGCGCACTCACACGATTTAAAATGAACTTTTACGTAAATCCGAAGAATTATGAAGTTATCTATATTTCATTACAACGTGAATAGTTTTTTATCACTAATTTAAATTCGAATCTTTCAAAAAAAGCAAAATATTTAAAAAAAACCAGTATCAACTTTTTTTACTTAACGTCGTTTCAATGATATGTCGCTATGTACTTTACCATTGTATTTGGATGATTAAAATTCATTGTTATGCGAATAATCGGCAAAAACATTCGAATAATCGGTAAAAATATTTAAATAATCGAATAATTCATTTTTTACGGTGTATTATTTGTTTAAATAAATTTTTATTTTTAAAATTTCTTAAAATACATGAATCATGAATAAAACTAGTTTATTTTTTTACTTTGTTAACCCAAATTTGGTAGGCAAAAAACTTGCACAAGGCTGCGCTGAAATAACGCAATTTCAATCTCCCGCCATTTCGAGAGCTAACTGTGCGTAATTTTGTGATTTGTCTTCTTTTTTTGTGACTCGGATTTAACTTTTTGAACTGTATTTTCTATATTCTTTGAAGCATGTGCCCATGTCACAAAGGATGATTGGGCAAAAGTGGCAGAAAAAACAAAAAAAATATTGATTATGGATGACTTTGAAAGAGACATTAATTTTGACTGCATTATTGAAAATCAAATATTAATTAATCTAAACAACGACAGCTCAACTAGTTGTACCGAAAGTGATTGAATAAATTAATTTTTAATCGTGTTTCAATCTTAAATTTTTGTAACTTTGCCTCTAGAAATAAGCAGTAAACAAATACGAAGAAACTGATAAATATTGTGTTTTAAATTATCCGTTTATAATTTATTCTGGTATTATTCAAACCGAACTGTAAATGATTACCAACTCTAAATAATCGATATCGATTTTTTTAAGAATCGAATATTGTACGTTTAAATTTTTTGGTTGGCATGCTTGGTGCAATAAGTCTGACAGCTGTCAAAATGTATTTCTTAGATTTGGTTGACTATAACTACACACATTTGTACTTTCATATTCATTCGAAGATTCAGTAATAGATAATATTAACCAGAAAAACAATAATCTAGTATTATAAGAGTATACAAGGGCAAAATATGTATAAACATAATAATGCGCTTCGTTTGTACCATAGCGGAACATAGTGGTGGCAAGGTAGGTACCATCTTAGTTCTCACTGGTGATAAAACATCTGCATTTTGATTTTTAATCTATGTACCTCAATATCAATTTTTAGGTGAACTAACTCACTCTTCTTGTTCGTCTTCATCGACCTGTAAAGTTCACGGCTCGACGTGGGGCTCTACCGTTGTAGGAAATATCAGTTTTCCTTAATTTGTTTATTTCCACCAATCCCAGCACCAACATTCCCAGCAAGCCAGGAGTTTTATACGTGGTAGAGCCACGCTGCAGCTATATTATGGTTAGGGGACCAATGGGTCGGCTTGACCGGGTATGGACCACGCTCTCACAGAATACCGAACTTTACATACTTTACACTTGTTTGCACTCTTAATGAACTCTGGCGAACGACAATGGAGAAAATCCTTATTCTAAAATGTCACACCCAATACCACAATAGGAGAAGGAAATTATTATTGCGGAGTGCAGCTTTACGCTCATCAACCCGTTTGAACACATTAAAAAAATCTTTTAATTAAAAAAAATTAATTTGCAAATTGTATTTAGTTTTATTTCCTCTAAATCTCACGAGTATGAGTAATGCGGGGTCTATGAGAATTATTATAATTCTCAATAATAAAACCACATTTTTTTTAAATGTGTTTTTTGAACAAATAAAAACTATGTCTATAATTTTGAATACTGATTCTGATAACGCAGTTAACAAAAACCAAAGGGTTTTTGTTACACGTTGTATATTGATTTGTTAAACATTTTTTTTTCTTTTTTTTGCCACATATCAATATGAGCTATGGTAACTCAGAGGATGTGTACTCACCGACACCGAAATTGTTTGCAATTATAAGTGCTGATTTATCACATATTTGGTGGTGAAGGAAAACATCGTGAGACTGAGAAATTCATCGGCACGACTGATAAATTAAAAAAGAAATATTTTGAAGATTATCAAAACATTACACTATTCTTTAACACGCATTAGGGCGTAGTGGACACTTCCTTGTCTAGTCTAAGCCCTGTCTGAAATGAGAGAGGGGAGTATACCGTATAAAGACTGTAAGTTTACTTTATATGCCATTCAGAGCATTTCTGAAATATACTGTAGAACTTATTCAAGTGGTACTGATTCCGCTCAATTTCTGATTAATTTCGACCATTTATGCGAGCAAATGATATCCTAACTAGTAGTAAAAATAAAACTATTAGAAGAATATTGCCTTTAACATTGTAAATATTTTTTTAAATAACAATTAAGTTAAAATTTAATATTTCGAACGTTGACAGAAATCCCTCGTATAGAGGTGTGTATGTTGCCTAAACCATTGAGGCGATGTTGGTGATCTTTGATATGGAGATAGCTTGTGTTCTTATGATCGTCATAAGCTACTTTTATTCTATTTGGTTTTTTTTATTCATACGCGGACGAAGTTGGCTTCATTTATATAATAATATCACAGCTGATACAAATATAGGAAACGCGGCAAGAGTAGCTATAAAAAACTCTGTCTGATTCAAAGGCGAAATAATATATGCAATTAAGTATACAGAATATAAATAAAACATTTCAATTATGAATATAAAAAGGTTTTTCTAATTTGAAATTTACGTTTTTAATTAATGAATATTTAAAACCTTACTACTACTACTAATAATAATGATTTATTTGCAAAAACATATTTTGCGGCATTTCCAAATACGAGTATAGTCGACACGGCACGACTGTTGGTGCCAAGATGTAGCAAGTGCCAAGTGCCGGCATTGTATGTGCCGACATCGTATGTGCCGCCTGAATGATTTTACACTTATACTTAAACAGCTTTGAGTGCCTTGCACATCGTCCATCTCCGTCAAGGTCATGCATAATGTAGGTACGTTGATCACGACAGTAAATGACTCACCATTCACCAGATGTCGCTAGATGACTTGAATTTAGTTTTTACAGTTTCTAGAGTCTTAAATTAATACACAAAACAGTGACTCAGTGGTTTGCTGTTTAATTTTTTTTGCACATTTGATCTCTTTTTTTATTTGTCTAATATATACACACAAACATATACATATATACAGAATGGGTCCCACATATATGTAATAAATGAAACCGTATACTTGTTATCGCCTTTGCTGACGATATACAAAAAATTAACGTAATCGGTCCAGTAATTAGGTCAAAAAGTAGAGTTTTAATTTTAAGCAAATTTGAACACTCTATAGAATTGGGTCACTAAGTCAATGATTCAATGAACTTGAATCCTTGAACATTAAAAAGCGACGTTGCCACGCAGTGCAAACTATTGGTATTGCGACATATCGACAGCGGTGTCTTTTGTCGGCGTGCCAACGTTGTCACTCTTCCAAGGGGTCAAGGTACGTTGCCTAAACAGAGTGTTCACTTTTACTGAATTTATTTTAATATTTATTTTGTTTGAAAATTTCACTTTTTTATTTTATGGGTTTTAATTTAATATTTAAATTTTCTACACTTCTACGGACTAGTATTACTTGTGGTTTCATTTATTGCATATATGTGGGACCCATTCCGTATATATATATATATATATATATATATATATATATATATAATCACCACACCACATACGATTCTTCTCATGTGGTACACATATTTATTTTAAATTAGTTAATATAAAATATTACAATATTAACCCTTAGACTAAGCGATTAAAACAATCCCTTACATTTTAGAAATATATTAAAAAAATAGTACAAATTACCTTCCCCGCTATGAAATCTGTCAAATATTACACCAGAAAAAGTCGTGCTAGCCGTACGTCATTGTTTGCTGCGCACTAGATCCATTTCGAATCCAGCGAGGCAGTAGCGAGTCACCAAGAGGAGAGTGGCATGACAACGAGTGACAGTTATGTTTTTTTTTTTAAGTTTAAGAATAAATTAAGTAAATAGTTAGGATTGTAAAGGAGAAATCAAAAAGCAGAACCGAATAACTATCTTACGGATCAGACAGGGTTTTCTTACACGTTGTGTATGTGCATATGAATAAGATATAAAGTTTCTTTTAATTTTTAATGTAATAATTTTATTATGTAGTTAAAGACATGAAATTATATAAGACCATTTTATAATTTTGTAAATTTTGTTATAGGTTACTCTTAGTATAAATTATGTAGTTCATAAGAAATATCCTACGAGTAACTGATTACGTGTTTTTTGTTTTATTAATTTTGAACTTGTATTGACGAATAAAAAATAATTGTTAAAATAACAATAAAGCTTATTATTTGACACGATTTTAATTTCTAATCCTATAAATTCTTAGAAAACCAAACCAAGTAAATATATTAAAATGGTCTGGTACCAGTGCATTATAAAGATACAAAGACTTTCGATAGCTGGTGGACCCATACTAATAATACGCTTCCGCACTGTAGTTACCATAAGAGAGGGCAATTCGGCACGATGACGTCATGATGTCATAATTTGCTTTTAATTTTTGCACTACTACGCAGAATGAATTTTAATATATTTTGAACTCTTGTATTGGTATGCATGGGTTTGGATTTACCTACCAAGGTATTATGGTTGTTGCACGAATATGTCGGCCCACAGATACGACCGTAAAGTGACAGTTTGATAGTGCTGTATTCCGTACAGTGAGTCTAGAAATCTGGAGATCCTTTTTACTGGTAACGAGACACCATCTTAGTCTTAAGGGGTGGCAACGAATCTGCATTTTGATTCTTAATCGTGGGCTCGTTTGTCTTCTTTTTTTTTATAAAAAACGTCATATAGATAAAATGGTTACTGTTAAATAAACTCGAGTGGACAAACAAAATCTGCGGCAGAGATTGATATATCTTAAGCCTAAGTAATCAACCAATTGGCAACCTAAACTTGTAAATATCCTTCTACGGAGGTAATCCTGTAAAACCCTGTGTTACAACCTAGGTTATCAAATAAATCAATATCAAATATTATTATACAAATAATAAACACGAGCACATGTTAGACAATATCAGGGGTGACAACGCATCTGCATTTGGTTTTTTACTAAATGCAGATGCGATATGAAACACTACCTTTTAATTGATATTGTTTATATAAGTTGTGTCGATAAAGGCACTGTCGTCTTTAGAAAAACCTTAACATTTTAATATATAAAGTGAGTACTTACCTAAAATCAACACGTTTTCCTTTTTTCAGGAACAAACATGAACTTTAAAATAGTAGCGACTGTAGAGAATGGAGAACGAAAGCTTAGCATAGTGCCCAGTTTATGGGAGACTAATGGCGAATTAAGAAGGCCAAAAGAACGAGCCAACATCACAAGATTAGTCAAGGACAAAAACTCAAGACCTCTGCCTGATTGGCACGTAACCGAATGTGTTATGAAACTGTCATCTATACCATCTTATGAACAAGCAGAAAAAGAGCTGTGTATTTTGCGCCAACACCGCGACGCAGACGTTAACAATAGAACGCAAGAACATGTAAATGCAACGACCAACAATGTGGTAAGCAGTTGTTTTTTATTATGGTTATAAGATTTAAATAAAACTAGTTTTGACGGATGTTATCGCGTATATTAACTTACTTAATATTCCCGACATTTCGAGTACTTTACAGCATCCATAGTCACTGGGGAGGGGGGAAGGGGGTTTACACAGGTTTTCGACGTTCCAATGTTAGCTACGGTTCCTTCTGATCATTATGGTTATAGAATGATTAACAGTGTAGGTAGATTATAGATATTCCGATAGTAACAGCATGCCCAGAAGGGTGCGATTCCCGGTGGACATAAGCTACCGCAAAAATATCTATCTATCTAACACGAAGAATCTCACACGTCCTAAGCTGCCGGTGCTGAATATAACCCCGGTAATACATGTTGGCCAAGCCTCAGCTAACGCGAGCGCAGGCAAAGGTGAAGAAGTCACACGTTGTAAAGTTGAAAGGCCAAGGCCAATGTTCACGAGTTTTTTTTTTGAGCTATCAACATGTTGGCCGTAATTAGTCGCCATTGAGAATTGCTATGATATGGACGACGTAAAAGTTATTGCAGCCAAGACGTAAAAGTTATTGCAGCCAAGACGTAAAAGTTATTGCAGCCTCTGCTGTTTATTTAATGAGTGCATATAATTATTATGCCAGTGTACTCCACAGTAAAGTTAAAAAACTTAAAGATATCCTAGTTAGTATAGAGTGACATTCTCGAAAGTATTTCAAAGTTGCAACTTAATTAAATATAGGGCAGACATGACTGACTAACATGTGGACGCGACTTGCCAGTGCAGGCGAGCGACTTTGATTTGTGCAGAAAAACCGACACTATTCCAAAGTGGACAAGTCGTAGCGAACGATCCCGTGCGGCAAGGCACGCCAAACGAACCGTATACACGTTGGCGCTCGCCTGCACTCGGCCAGCTAGGCGGCGTCGACGAGCAAAGGCGAGGCTGGAGAAATGGGCTATCTATAAGTTGGTGTTCGACTTTGCTCGGCCCATATGTATAGCCGGCTTAACATTCATACAATAAATTCGAAAGTAGATTAAAAGCAATATCAAAGACGGGGATATTCACAATACACATCCCGAAAAGTTTGTATTTTTACACAAATGTTCGCTGCAGATTAGATTCGAATCCAGTATTTATAACTTACATAGGTATTCTGAACAGTATCGTCAATCATTTCGATTTTAATCCATATTTTTATTTATTATAAATGCGATTTTTTCTTATTAAATCACGCTTTAACGGCTAAATTGATTTAAATCGTACTAAAAGCATAAATAGGCTATGTTCTATGTTCTTTATGGCGCACAAATTCAGAGATTTATACTTAAAATTAAAGTTACAGCCTATTATAAGTCCTACTGCTGGGCACATATCTTATATAATACTTAATTATACATAAACAATTTGTCACATTAGTTAGGCTGTTAAGTTTAAAGAAAAGTTCTAATGATACTTACATTGGAACTAACTGGAAAAGTTCCAATGTAGCTACGAATACGTCAACTGAAAGTTTTTCATCTATAGCTTGTTACAGATAGATCTGCAGGTCTTTGAGTTATATATAAGATATACATTTATATTGTAAGTTTTATTTTAATATTCTACTGTTAATGTACTGTAATAAATACAATGTTTACTATACTTTTAGGTTGTGAATGATCAAGAGAGAACACGAAACTTATCAGCAAAGCCCACGTCGGGACCTCAGGCAACAACAGTGACTGCCGAAAATAATAATGAGCATGAGTTTGAGTTTGAGTTCGTAGATAGCAAGAATAATTTGCTTACGCCTTCAGTACAAATTCAGACAATCACCAATACGAACCAAATTATGGAATATCTGAAAGTTATTTCAGATAGCCAACATAACATGGCACAAACTTTAAATCTTGTAGTAGATAATCAAAAGAAACTTTTTCATAAGCTTGTAAGTTTATCTGTGCAAATCAAGGACGTAAATTCAAAGCGTGATCGAGTTAATAAAACACCTATAACTTTGAGCGAATCTATCCCGACTGAAAGAGATGGTGTTATAATAAAACCGATTGAATCAGTTAGAGAGCTAGAAGAAATGGAATCGATGCTATCTAATAATATACACAGATGTAAACTAATGCAGCAATATTCATCGGTATGTTCGCAATCAGAAGGAAAGGGAGTAACATGTGCGTACAAAATGTTGGACTTATTTTTCTCCCGAGAATTTTTGTGCATGTGTTCCTGGACGGGCGGCAGTAGGAGTGATGAATTAAAAATTGGATTTAAAAGCTACAAAAATATACTCAAATTTTACTTTGAACTAATACATTCCTGGGATTCGACTTACACGATGCAAGACAATGAAAACTTTTTCAAAGTTATTTTGAAAAATTCTGCAAAGAGAAAGCTCAACAAGAATATAAGAGCTTCAACTCAACGAACGAGAGCAAAAAAAGCTGTTGTTGTAAAGAAACAGCAAAATCAAAAAGAAGAAGGAAATCACACGGCAAATCAACATGAATTAGAAATAAGCGAAAGTCATCAAAGGAATGAAACAGAACGACCGATTCTCGTAGGCATAAATGACAAAGCTGAGATAGTTGAAAAAACCACAGAAGATGAAGAAGTAATGGGGAAAAGTAAAGGAGACGAAGTATTTCTTTGTTAGTAAAATTAGTGTTTGTCGTTACTTAAATTAACATGTAACCTGGTTCATAGTAATTAGTTTGAAGTAACATGTAAGTAATAATATATGCTAGATCGTGACGAGTGCGAGTTACGAGTCGTCCGTGGCCCATACGTGATTCCTCGTTAAGTAACGATTAATAATGAAATTTAAGTAAGCTATAAAAGATGGCGAACTTAACATAAGGTGTAAAAAAACTAGAAAAAGATGGAACGACGTTGGGTCATCGTAATGATAATTTATGTATATTACATTTATAACTTACTTCTACTTATATTACAGTGAAATTTTTTGCACATTCGATAGTTTTAAAATACGTTATCCTTCACTAAACTTGCATTGCAAACTGCTCTGACGTGGCTCGGATGGGTGTCCATATTACTACAAAACAAAGAAGGAAGGTGAATTCGTGTTAGATGACGACCGAAATACAGACACAGCATGGAGTTACACTAAATTTTATAATATATTTGCACGGTCTATTTGATGTCTAGACGATATCTCGTATGGTTTGAATCAGCTCGTTTAATCACCTGTCTGTTCACCAGTTTTTTATTGCTAGTATTAAGTGTTAAAAAAATGTTGATTGATAAGAAGAAAAATAAAAAGTATTTAATATAATTACGTGATTTTTATTCATTCTCATCATCATAACAGTTTATCAAAGTCCAGTGGTCAACATAGGCTTACCCCAAAAGATTGTCAAATAGTGGGAATTTTGCCAACGCTTGGCATGTTTTTATAATGATGGTTTTTATTATTGACTTTTAATATTCGAAGGGATTTAAAATATCATCTTCTCCATAATCTTTAAGTCCATTGCAGGATAAGAATATCTTTTTATTATTGACTTTTAATATTTGAAGGGATTTAAAATATCATCTTCACCATAATCTTTAAGTCCATTGCAGGATAAGAATATCTTCCAATCTTGGGTGATTTTGTCATCGTCTATACATGTAAATAAAACTAGAGTGTCTGTTTGTAATTCGAAATAACTGCCTTTTATTGAGCTGGGAGGATTATTTGCATGCTATAATGATATTAATAGACATTTTTTTTAATGTTTTTGGCAACGCGCCTGCAATTTCTCTGGTGTTGCGGTTATTCATGGGCGGCGGTAGTCACTTAACATCAGGTGAACCGTAAGGTCTGTCGCCTGTCGCGATACAATCTTCGGAACGTCTGAACCAATTGTTATGTAACTTAAGGAACAGATAGAGACCAAAGCCAAGAGTGATAGTGTATATTTTGTTCGCAAAACTTGATTTTTTTTAGTAAACGAAAAATCGATTAAGTTAGTAGTCTTTAATGATTAACTTAAATCTAAATTATTCCATGTTTATAAATCCAGGGAAAGCCCAGTAATATGCTTTTTCATTAATTTACAAGTAAAATAAATATCACGCGAGTCAATTCACGATCAGATGCTAGTGATCAATCATCATCATCACTACAACTTTACACTTTACTCCCCCATAGATTGCCTTTTAAGGGAGGTATTCACCATGGTTGCCACGCTTGGCAAGCGCAGTTCTGTTTTAATTTTGAGTTGTTTGGATAACACTTTCCATATATATATATATATATATATATATATATATATATATATATATATATATATATAATCTTTAGCACTAACCTTTACATTTTTCGAACAATTTATCTTCCCCGCTATGAAATCTGTCAAATATTACACCAGAAAAAGTCGGGGATTGGCTAGACGTACGGATTGGCTAGACGTACGTCACTTAATATTATACATTGTTTACTGGATACTAGATCCATTTTGAATCCAGCAAAGCAGTAGTAGTGTATTATCTATGGCAATAGCGAGTCACCGAGTAGAGAGTGGCATGACAGCTACTGAGGTTTAACGTGTTTTTTTAAGATTAATAATAAAATAAGTAAATAACTAGGATTGTAAAGGAGAAATCAAAAATCAATACCAAATAACTTTTACGGATCAGACATGGTTTTCTTACACGTTGTGTACATGCATATGAATTAGATTTAAGTTTTACTTTAATAAAAAATTTGATTTAAGTTTTATTTTAATAAAACCTTAATCTAATTCACAAATTTTCTTTTAATTTTTAATGTAATAATTTTATCATGTAAAGACAAGAAATAATATAAGACCGTTTTATATTTTTATAAGTTTTGTTATTGTTAAGATGTAGTTACTCTTGGTATAAGTAATTATGTGTTAATAAGGATGTCTTAAGAGTTACTAATTACTTAGTTGTTTTTTGTTTTATTAATTTTGAACTTGTTGACGTCAACTTGACGACGTTGACGAATAAAATAATAATTGCTAAATTAAATATAGCTTATTATTTAACACGATTTTAATTTCCAATCCCATAAATTCTTAGAAAACCAAACCAAAATATAAGTAAATATATTAAAATGTTAAGTTGGGAACAATGCATTATAAAGATATCAATGCTTTCCATTTTCGAACCCAGACCGACAACGCGCTTCCGCACTGTGGGAGAGGGCAACGCGGCATGATGACGTCATGATGTCACAGTTGACCTTATGCTTTTAATTTTTGTCTATGCAGAATGATTTTAATATATTTTGAACTCTAGTATTGGTATGCTTGGGTTTGGATTTACCTACCAACTATATTATGGTTGTTGCACGAATGGGTCGGCCCACAGAATACGAGCATAAAGTAGCAGCTTAATACTGCTGTAGTCCGTACAGTGAGTCTAGAGATCCGGAGACGTTTTTTACAGGCAACGAGACATTCCATCTTAGTCTTTAGGGGTGGCAACTAATCTGCATTTGATTCTTAATTGAGGACAGATGTAAGTAGTAAGAAGACAAACGAGCTCACAGGTAAATTGTGGCCTAGTTTATCTTCTTACTTTATAACGTCATGTACATTAAATGCTTACTGTTAAATTAACTCGGCCGGAGAAACAGAATTTGCGGCAGAGAGTGATATGTCTTAAGCCTGAGTAATCACGTAACCTAAACTTGTAAATATCCTTCTACACAGGTAATCCTGTGAAACCCTGTGTTTAACTTAGGTTATCAAATATTATACAAATAATAAACACGAACACATTAAAATATTACGTTGTTAGACAATATCAGGGTTGACAACGCATTTGCATTTGGATGCAGATATATAATGCAAATGCAGATATATAATAATGGAATACTACCTTTTGATTGATTACAAGTTCAGTGTGGATAAAGGCACTGTCGTTTTTAGAAAAACCTTAATATTTTTATTACATAAAGTGAGTACTTATCAAAAATTAACACGTTTTCCTTTTTTCAGGAACAAACATGAACTTTAAAATAGTAGCGACTGTAGAGAATGGAGAACGAAAGCTTAGCATAGTGCCCAGTTTATGGGAGACTAATGGCGAATTAAGAAGGCCAAAAGAACGAGCCAACATCACAAGATTAGTCAAGGACAAAAACTCAAAACCTCTACCTGATTGGCATGTAACCGAATGTGCTGTGAAACTGTCATCTATACCATCTTATGAACAAGCAGAAAAAGAGCTGTGTATTTTGCGCCAACACCGCGACGCAGACGTTAACAATAGAACGCAAGAACATGTAAATGCAACGACCAACAATGTGGTAAGCAGTTGTTTTCTATTATGATTATCAGATTTAAATAAAACTTGTTTATATTAACTTAATTAATATTCCCAACGTTTCCCTCACGGGGAGGGGTGAACAGCGAATTTCGAAGTTTCAACAATGAAAATGGCGGGAGTCCTGTGAGATTTATGAGAGCTTAGCCTCTAATCGTCTAATCCACCACGACTCGTTTTACAACCAATACAAAATATTCTAGTAAAAGTGTAAAATTCATCAATTTTAATGATGATTACCAGCTAACTAATTTCTGCTACGACGGGTATCCTAATAATACCAGAACCTTACTACTGCTAATAACATAGTATAATGCCAAAATTGCTTGTGTTAGCGCTAGAGTTCTAACATGAAGAATCTCACACGTTCTAAGCTGCTGGTGCTGAATGTAACATTTATACAATAAGATCGAAAGTAGATTAAAAGCAATGTCAAATACGGAGATATATATACAATATAGATCCGGAAAAGTTTGTTTCATGTTCGCTGCGGATTAGATTCGAGTCCAGTACTTTATACGTGAAAGAGCCACGCTGCAGTTATCTTATGGTTGTAGCACGAAAGGGTCGGATCGACCGGGGAAGGTCCACACCCCACAGAATACCAACGAAACATAGCAGCTTGTTGCTGCCATGTTTCGTATGGTGAGTGGAATTGAGGCATTCCATCTTAGTCCTCAGGAGTGACAACGCATCTTTTTTTCGCATTTAGATCCTTAATGGACGTTAAATGTAGATGTCTATGGACCACAGCATCCACTTACCATCAGGTGGACTGTGTACTCGTTTGTCACCCTAATTATATTTTAAAAAAACTTACGACTTAGACAGATATTCTGAACAGTATCGTCAATCATTTCGATTTTAATCCATATTTGTATTATTGTAAATGCGATTTTTCCTTTATAATCACGATTTAAACTGAATTGATTTAAATCGTACTAATTGGCTATGTTCAGTGTTTTTATGGCACAGACATTGATACTTTCATACTTAAAGTTGAAATTACAGTCGTAAAAATACATCCCACGGCTGGGCGCATACCTTGTCTAATACTTGCTTATACATAAATAATTTGTCAAAGAAAAGTTTTAGTGTTACCTATATTGGAAGTAACTGGAAAAGTTCCACTAAGTACGGATACCTCAACCCAAAAATTAACATCTACAGCTTGTAGCAGAGATATCTGCAGGTCTATGAATTAGTAGACAAATTAAGCGTAATGAAATACATTATTATTGTATGTTTTGTTTTAATATTTTTACTACGTCTTGGATAAACATTATGTTTGCTATACTTTCAGGTTGTAAATAACGAAGAGAGAACACCAAACTTATCAGCAACTGCAAATCCCACATCGGTACCCCTAGTAACGACACTGGCACTAGACAATCAAAAGAAACATAAGCTTGCAGGTCTATCTGTGCCAATTAAGGACGTAAATACAAAGCGTGATCGAGTTATTAAAACACCTATAACTTTGAGCAAGTCTATCCCGACTGAAAGCGATTGTGTAATAGGATGGATTATAACAAATCCCATTGAATCAGTTAGCGACCTAAAGGAGATGGATTCGTTTTTATCTAATATTAAACACAGATGTAAACTAATTCAGCAATATTCACAGCAATGTTCGCAGTTAGAATGTAAGGGGGTAACATGTGCGTACAAAATGTTGGACTTAATTTTCTCCCGAAAATTTTTGTACATGTGTTCATGGACGGGCGGCAGTAGGAGTGATGAATTAAAAATTGGATTTAAAAGCTACAAAAATATACTCAAATTTTACTTTGAACTAATACATTCCTGGGATTCGACTTACACGATGCAAGACAATGAAAACTTTTTCAAAGATATTTTGAAAAATTCTGCAAAGAAAAGCTTAACAAGAATATAAGAGCTTCAACTCAACGAACGAGAGCAAAAAAAGCTGTTATTGTAAAGAAACATCAAATCGTCAGAATCAAACAGAAGAAGGAAATCACGCAGTAAATCAACATGAATCAGAAATAAGAGAAAGTTATCAAAGGAATCAATCAGAACGACCGGTTCTCGCAGGCATGAATAACAAGGCTGAGATAGTTGAAAAAACACAGAAGATGAAGTAATGGGGAAAAATTAAAGGAGACGAAGTATTTCTTTGTTAGTAAAATTAATATTTGTCGTTACTTAATTTATCATGTAACTTGGTTTATTGCCATTAGTTAGAAGTAACGCGTTAATAATAATGTGTGCTGGATCGTGACGAGTGCGAGTTATGAGCCGTCCGTGGCCCAAACATGATTCCTCATTAAGTAACGATGAGTAATGGAATATACGTACGCAAGATGTTTGATATTGGGTCATTGTAATGATAATTTATGTATAACGTTTGTAACTTACTTCCACTTATATTACAGTGATTTTTTTCACATTCGATAGTTTTAAAATACGTTATCCTTCACTAAATTTGCATTGCAAACTGATCTGATATGGTTTGGATGGGTGTCCATATTACAAAACAAGGAAGGTGAATTCGTAGTTCGATGACACAACCGAAATACGGACACAGCATGGAGTTACACGAACTTGGTTTTATAATATATTTCCACGGTCTATTTGATGTCTAGTCGATATCACGTATGGCTTGAATCAGCTTATTTAAACACCTGCCTTTTCATCAGTTTTTTATTGCTAGTATTAGTGTTAATAAAATTTTAAGAAGAAAAATAAAAAGTATTCAATATGATTACATGATTTTTATTCATTATCATCATCATAATAGTTTATCAAAGTCCAGTGGTTAATATAGGCTTACCCTAAAAAATTACCAAATAGGGGTATTTTGCAATAGTTGTCACGCTGGGCATGCGGATTGACAACTGTAGTTTTTATAATTTTGAATCGTTATTCCCTCTTTCGCCTATTACGACTCTCACGGGGTAGTTTGTTATAGTGGATATTCTTACGCCGCCATGTAAATAATTGATGGTTTTTATTATTCACTTTTAATATTTGAAGGGATTTAAAATATCAAAATCTCCCATAATCTTTAAGTCCATTGCAGGATAAGAATATCTTCCAATCTCGGGAGAATTCGTCATCGTCTATACATGTAAATAAAACTGAAGTGTCTGTAATTAGAAATTACTGCCTTTTATTGAGCTGGGAGGATTATTTGCATGCTCTTGGTCTGTTGTCTGTCCGGACCAATCCACGGAGTGGCTGAATCGATTGTTGTGTAACTTGACGAACAGAAACCAGGAGTCGACTTTGTTCAAAAAAAATTTAGATTTTTTTAGAAAACGAAAAATTGATTTAATAATTGATTCTTGATGAATAACTTAAAAATGAATCCACATAAGTAGATCCAGGCGAAGCCGGGGCGAATCGCTAGTCGTCAATAACATGCTTTTTCATTAATTTACAAGTAAAATAAATATCACGCGATTGCTAGTGATTAATCATCATTATTATTGTAGATTTTCAATCTGAACATAAACCTTCCCTCTTAGATTGCCTTTTAAAGGAGGTATATACCGTAGTTGCCATATTTGGCAGGCAAGCGCAGTTCTCGTTGTTGTTTTGAATTGTTATTAGGAAACCACTTTTTCGACTAAGAATCAATATGCAGAGACGTCCTTGAGTACTAAGATGGAATGCCTCGTGTCCAGTAAAAAGGGCATCCGATTCTCTACAATCACCATACGAAACACAGCAGCTTTTTATGCTGCTATTCTGTGAGAGTGTCATCCTACCCCGGTTGAGCCGACCCATTCGTGCTACACTATATGGCCGCAACATGCCACGGCCCTACCACATAAAATTGCTGCTATCTATCTCCGGCTTTGTTTCCTTCCGACACCTTTTCCGACACCCACGGATCAATATGGGGCAGTGGATATTATTACAATGCCACTATGCGGTAGAGCTCAATAATCCTCGTTAAATATCAAATCCAAAATCCATTTTGGCTGCTCAGTGCTACAACTAAGGAAAGCCGAACAACGGGAGACCCATGACCAACAGAAGACTTACAGGCTGATGAGGAAGAAGCCACGGCAACCAAACAATGTCTAAACGATCATGTGCACAAAGTACGTTCAATAGGACATTTGGTTTTAAATTTATAAAATGATTACCAAGTTCGGGCTCGGTAAACAAAAGACTAGTGAATTTTCAATAGTTTCTACAGTAAGCTTATGGTTGTAACGAAATAAAACAATTATTCATTTTGTTAATTTATTAAAAATATATTCAGAATCATGTTACTGCCTTATTTTAATACAACGAATGATTGATAACATAAAATTACTGAAACTGTCAATTTTAAATATTTGAGGTCACTTCAAAATCACATTTATCTTATATCTTAACACATTACACGTAAATACTATCTAGATAAAAAACAGTGTCTTTACTTGTGTTCATAACGCTTTTACAAATGTATAGGGTTATTGTGCAACAACCGGCCAAATTTGCAGAAAAGTTTCAGAATAAGTAATATAGGCAAATGGATAAGAAAAAATAATTAAAAAAAATTCATACTTTCTGTCCTTTTTATCCTTTAAATTCAAAATATGTGGTAATGCATTATTTTACTGGTTTTACTGCGCACGCACACATTTGCAAGGGTCGATAGGTAGGCAAAAACGTACTTTTCCATAAATCATATTCAATTTTGGATAATTTTAAATAAAAGTAGAAGCCTTACTTACTCGTATTTTCAAAAACTGCAATAACTATATAGCATTATTTATATATCTGAACTTAAGTTTAAAATTTGGCTACGCTTTGAAAAATAACCATGTATAAACAATATTGTTAAGTCAATTACAATCCTAAAACGTATCTCGCTTTGCGACTACCAATTAAATAGGATCAAATTGTTTAATGTACACCACTGTGCATTGATATTTCAAGAATATATGATAAGAAACAATATTACATAATTCTTTCGTCAATAAGTTTAATTTTTTTTAAAGCATGCATAATATATACATACACAATATGTGTACGATTTAATATTTAATCACATATGTAATAGAATAATAAGATTACAGTTTGTATATTAAAATACTACATAATTGAAATGTGCATCACTGTGCATTGATATTTCAAGAATTACATTGATAAGAAAGAATATTACATAATTCTTTCGTCAATAAGTTTAATTTTTTTAAAAGCGTACATAATATATACTACACAATATGTATATGATTAAATATTTAATCACATATGTAATAGAATAATTAGATTACAGTTTGTATATTAAAATGCTACATAATTAAAAGTAAGCCATGTCCTATACATAAAAAAATTCTAACAAGTTGAATTACAAGCTTATTGTGTAACAAGTTTTTTTTTGTAACATGGGAGTAACAAGCGAGCTGGTAAGTGGCTATTGCAGCTCATATACATCTGGAACCAACTTCAAACAAAGAAGTGTTAAATTGTCATTCGAGAGGACTAAAATACAATGCCTACAATTCTCGCTTTCTTACTCTTCAAAACGGTACTTAGTAGTAGGTGTACTGCTGCTCGTGACAGTAAGGCAATAGGGTGTAGGCCAGGCAGAAACAGGTGGATGTTTTTTTTTTCAGTTAAAACTTAAGGATTTCAGGTTTTTACACTAGATTACATTTAATACTATTACTGACTGAGTCTCTTCACAAATATACATAAGAATGAATAAAAAGTGTAACAATTTATAAATAACGGTCATACGACTTATTAACAAAGATAACATTCAAATGGAATGTTGTGTTATATTATAAATATAATCACTATAATCTATGTATAGGAGAAAATTTCTTAATTTTATAATTTTAGTAACATCGAAAAACAATAAAGATATATTATAAAGAAATTATTTTGACGATAATAGTGGTATTTGTTTTCGAAAATATTTGTGATATTTTTAGTACAAAGCCACTTTTAACATGTTACGTTTAAGTAAGCTTAAGGTAAATAAAATGAGAGAAAAATAGAGATATGAATAAATTAATACGTTAATTGTTCTATGTACAGTCAGAATTACATAGACATAGACATGAATAAATACGTATAGCGTTGTCTAGCATTCAAAACTGCAAACGTAAAATGCTTATAAAATATATTCAAAAAACTATCCTTACATCTGTGCATCGAATGTGTATCGGAACTGCGGACTACGGAAAGTATCATTCATATTCTCGGTTGTGGATGCTAAATGATGATCGACCGATCAAATAACAGATAGACAAAAAAAACAACACTCATTAAAATAGTCGAAGAAGAAATAATAAGAATGTAAATAAACACATAGTCACAAACATAAAGTTTCTAAAATATTAGATAAAGTTATATCATATTATAACACTTATGTTTTTGGTTAATAAGGCATTAAAGATTTTATTGAACCATCATTATTCATTAAGTGATACGTATAAGTTTCCAAACATTCAGCATTATTTTTGGTTTGATTTCATGAGTAACATCGTAATGCTACTGTCAATTAAAATTACAATGTTTACTATGTAGGAGCACAAACATCATTTGACCTTCCTTAATCCGTCGTGTTCATGTACGTTGTAAATCTTGATGATGGCGTCATTTAATGTTGTCAACTTCGCTTTGCAGCCCTTGTCACACTTGTTACATACCCAGTGGATCTCTTGCTTCTGGTTTATGTGGCGGGATCTCTTTTTAAATCTGTATTCACCAAGGAGTATTATGGCGTTGCCAGCGCGCGACCAGCTGTATTGCGGTACCAACCCTAGGTTACCTGAAACGGAAATAAATATGAATTCTCTCAAAATCGACAGCACAAACCTATGAAACAATTTTTCAATAGCTTCAAAATTACATTCATTATCATTTCCTAATTATAAAATAAATAGATCATTTCTACAAATAAAATCTACCTTCGTGTTAAAA